CTCTCACACTGTCCCGGCAAAGCACGAGCGAGTCCGGCTCTGGAGATTCTCTCCTGCCCTGCCCCCCCCCTCTCGCATAGTTGCAGACTGCCTGGCTGGTAGACATGCTCACACAACATGAGCACGTCTACCAGCCAGGCCGTACGCAGCTACGTACTGATATTCCTAATAATACTAAAACTTACCTAGTTAGAAAATACCCGACATTTTATGTGTCCGGTATTTTCTCAATTTGTTTCCTGGACAGAACCCTCAAATACCGGACTGTCTGGTTCAAAACCGACACCTGGCAGCCCTAAGAGCTTCCTGACTGGGAAGGGACACGCCCTCAACAGCAGACGCTCCCTGCTCCAGACAATGAGCTTGCAGGTAGGAAAGGAAACGTAAGGAGAAGGGCAAGACTAAGTACATGGCTGAGACAGGAGGAGAGTTTGCAGGTGCAGTCTCCCAGCTGAGAGGTTTGATTATAGCAGCTGGGTTTTCCTGCAGCTTCCTGTGAGGAAACTCAGCAATCTCCTCTAGCTTCCTGGGCTGATGGAGGGTGGGGGTAGATTGCATGGGGGAAATAGGGGAGTTTGTTTGGGGTATCTTAACTTACTCCCATCTGGGCTGCAGATAGCAAGAGTCAAACCTTGTCTGTCTCAGCCCAACAGCCCTAGCTGGGCTGCAGACAGGACTCTCCTGGCCTGGGACAGGCTGTATGGGGTGGTGCCAAAATTTCAGGTGTGTTAAAAGCTTTTAGGCTGCTTTTGAATACTGGAACAAAAGGCCTAGCTCATGACATTTGCATGATTACATTTCAAACAAAGTTTACATAGGTGTTAATGGATTACCATCAGAAAAGAAAGGATTCTTTTAACATATTTTTTGTAGTGTTGTAAATTAATGCAAACTCTGATCTTAATGATTTTTTTTAAAAACCCTGTGTTAGGAGTTATTACATGTTACATTGTTAAAACTGGAAGAACTTTACCATGGCTCCTGTTTAATGTGTTTGGCCTTTCAGTTAGTTGGATTCTGGACAAATGCTCTGGGTCTTCTACTCTTTGAGTTAGTGATACACACAAAATGAAGGTTTCAAACAAGAACTTTCATCAGTTTTTATAGGTTTTTATTTCATTTGTGTAGTATGGATCCTAAACTTTCCCTAGTGAAAGTGCATAAGCCTGAGTGAAGAACGCCTTTTACTATTCTTTCCAATATCAGTAAATATTGTATTAATATTTTCCAGGAGAGCGTGACTATTTCTAGTTGACTCATATATTTGTTTAGCATCTGAAAGTTGTGAATATTTTTTATGCTTAATGGCCATGTCTTTGATTTATTTATATAGTTATTTGCAGTCTGTCCCATGTTGGTGTGTTTACTAGCTCGAGTTGTTAGGACAATAATACATGTACTCCAAGGGTAGTGTTAATTTTCTTTATTTGATTTCATATTAAACATCTTAAGCATTGTGCCTTGTTAATTGTCTCTTGTTTTAATATATTCTTCCGTACCTATGGACTGTTTAAAATACATATTTATACCTAGGTTTTTTGTTTGTACTGGGACATGCTGCACATCCACACAGAATCTCAATATAGGTGGTGCACATAAGAAATTTAAAACCACCCAAGGATGGAAAATGTTAGAGGGAACACTGCCCCCCACCACCTGTGGCTCGGAGCTCTGAGGATCTCCCACTGCCCTTGGCAGCCTAGAGCTGGGGGAGAGGCAGCTGTGTGTGATGACCCAGAACTCCCGGGGACTATCCATGGCATCTGGGTGACCCCCATGGCCTGAATTATCTAGATGCTAAAATAAATGGGGAACAGAGAGAGCAAAATGTGGTGTTTTAGTTTCAGTGCTATTTCAGGGCAACTATGGTGAATTTGAGGCATTTCCTCCTTCCCCCATCACCTTCACGCTCAACACAGCAGCCTCTATCCAAGTAATGGAGAATTTTATCTTGACCCTTTCTACTTCTCTGCCTCCCAAGGCTCTCCCTGGCACTCTATACTTAGGAATCACAGTTCTGATGCCTGTGATCCTAAGTCAGACTCTGTGGGGTTGGAGAAGAAAGTGTCACTGAGCTGGAACGGGGTGTCCAATGAACCTCAAAGCAGAGTGTGACTTTACAAATCTTACAGCCCTGTTTCTATTTCTGGGTAAAATTGCTTCCCAGCTTTTTCTGGGCTCAGTCCAGGCCATTTATAGATGAGAAGATATTTCTCTTTTTTCCTCTCCTCTTTCTTTTCATGGTATTAAAACTTTGCATCCAATACAATTGAATAATGAGGCAAGAAGTGAAGCCAGTTTAGCCACTTCAGAAGAAACTGGGCACATTTATTTTCCTGTTTTTTAGAGTCTGAAAGGACTCCCTGAGATTTCTCTTTATGAATGGGAAAACCTTTTATAGCCCAGGCTGGACTGTGGTTTTTTCTCTCTGCATGAAGGCTATTTGGTCACATACTTTGATGTCAGTTTAGGATGTAGCTCAGATGTACTGAAGATTTCATAAGACAAATGCTCATTTGCCAGAATAGTCCTTTTTTACACTTTATTTTACTCTTCATCTAACCCGTTGTCCGAGATGTTTTGTGTGGTTTGAACAATGACAGTGATCAATATCGCTCAGCACAAACAGTGAGGGTGAGAGCTAGAGTCATGGGACAAGAGGCAGAGACTGAAACCAGAAATGAAGTTCCTGCTTGATGCCTGCAGTGATGTGAGATACCACCAGGAGGCGATAGGTGGAGGAACAGAGCTGGGAAACTGCTGGGTTTGTTCCTCAGAGCCAGACAGCTGAGGCTGAAAACTGTGTACTTGCTGCATCAGCGTCACGAAAAGCTTATGTTCCAATAAATCTGTTAGTCCAGCGTTTCCCAAACTATGGGCCGCGGCCTGGTACCGGGCCTCAGTGTGGCTGCCGGGAAGGGAGCGGGGAGGACTGGGAGGAGGGGTGTGTGTGGGAGAAACCGGCCGCCGGGAAGCAGGGTTGCGGGCAGCGGGGCTGTCTGGAGGAGATCGGGGGGGGGATGACGGAAGCAGGACTGGCCCCGGGGATGGGGGGCGGAGAGCTGGCTGGGAGAGATGGGGAGGAGGAAGATGGGAGAACCAGCCTCCGGAAGCAGGGCTGGATGGGGGGAGAAGCGGCTGGCTGGGAGGAGGTTGGGGGGAGTGGGGCTGGTTGGGTGAGATGAGGGTGGGGAACCGTCCAGCGGAAGCAGGGCTGGCGTGCCGGGAGAGGGGGGAGGCTGGCCAGGGGAGATCAGGAGGAGAAGCAGGGGAGAATTGGCCAGCTGGGAGGGGGTCAGGGAGAGCGGGGCTGGTCGGGGGGAGTCAATGAATCAGGGGTGATAAGTGGGGAAGCTATCTTTGTAATGGTTAAGGTAATTAGCATCTTTGTTTAGTCTCATTCATAAAGTGTCAAATTTAAGCATGAAAGAAAGTTCTGAAGTTTCCCTCTGTAATCTGGTGTTAAAGTCTCTTTGAAGTAAGATGCATGAAGTAAGGTCGTTAAGATTATGTCTAGGTTGATTGAAATGCAAAGCAGCTCGTTTTTCCTTGTGAAGATGTCTGATGTGTGGGCATTAATTCTTTGGCGAAGTGTCTGAGAAGTCTGTCCAATATACATAGACGGACACTGTTGCCACATGATGGCATAAATTATATTTCTGGATGAACAGGAATGTGTGTTCTTGATCATATAACTGATATGATTAGGTCCACTGATGGTATCACCAGAGTAAACATGTGGACAAAGTTGGCAATAGGTTTTGTTGCAAGGGAAAGTTCCAGGGTTGGTACTTAACGACTGTACTACATGCATCTTACTTCAAAGAGACTATAACACCAGATTACAGAGGGAAACTTCAGAACTTTCTTTCATGCTTAAATTTGATACTTTACGAATGGCCCTTAACAAAAATGCTAATTACCTTAACCATTACAAAAGATAGCTTCCCCACTTATCACCCCTGATTCATTGACTCATAAATAGCTATTCCGTCCCTCTCTCTCCCTCACCCCACCTTTTGTACTAAATCTGATTTGTCAGTTTAATAATGTGTTCACTTTTTTCATTGTATTCCTTTGGTATATATGGCCATGCCAATTCTCTTCCAGAATATGATCTGAGGAAGTGGGTTGGGCCCACGAAAGCTCATCACCTATTAAACCATCTTGTTAGTCTTTAAAGTGCTACATAGTTTTTCCTTTTGTTTTTGTCTCTTATAAATAACTCAGCACAGGGTCTGAGGCAAGTTTTACCATAAGGGATCCTGAGAGATCATCTGATCCAGCAATGGGAGGGTCTGAGAGAGGGCTATAAATAGAGGAAAATATTGCAGTATTAATTATCTTTCTATTTAAATGTTTTTATATGAAGTCAAAGTCATGGCCCTTGTTAATTATGGCTTGTTTTAGTATTCTTTCTTTCAGAACGTTTTAAAAAATATATGCAAGATATTTGTTCACTTGGGTGCCATGGTGCATCCGAACAAGCACACGTGATCTCAATCTTTGCACACGAGGCAAAACTCACTCTGCTCCTGGATGGGAAATTTTAGAAGGAACATTGGACTCCAGGGTGCAGCATCCAGGTGATGTGTGTGTCTGTCCATTTTGCACGCCTGTGATGGCCTATCTTATAAGTGTTCGCTTTCTCTTTTTGGTTCCTATAGACCTGAGGTAGAGGAGAGGATGGCCAGCCTGTGGCAGAGACCAAAAGGAGCAGCCACACTGAGACCATCCAGGAAGACAGAAACGAGACCGAGATCTATGGAGTAAGAGCAAATAGCAATTGGCTCAAGGTAAGTATTGAGGGAGGGCTGCAGACTCTTGTGAGCATGGGATGGGTTCCTGAGAAAAGACCCTCTGGCGTTAGTGAGAAACTTGAAAATATGAACTACAAAAGTTCCTTAAACTGAAGACTTAATTTTGTATTTTCAAAAAGGTCATTCCTCCCCCTCCCCCCGTTTTTTTTTAAATCTCCTAGTTGGCAATACTTAATTTTCCATATGTGCATAGACCCACAAGGTTAGTAGGCTGCTAACATATATAAATAGGGTTGCCAGGTGTCTGGTATTGAACTGGACAGCCCGTATTTGCGCCTTCCATCCGGTAAAAAAATTCAGAAAACCGAACCCCCCCCTCTCTTTTTTTTAAAGGGAGGGGGGTGGTATTTTTGTTAAACCATTTGGCAACCCTATATATAAAGTTACGCATGCTGAGAGTTTGCAAAACTGGGATTGAAATAAATACTTTGTCGTGCAGCAGCACATGGGAGCCACAATAATGGATTAGGACCTCATTGTAATAGTTCTCTTCTAATTGATCTAATATTTGGCTTTTGAATTTGATATTGTTGCTATTTCCTTCTATGCTACTGTTACTTTGTGTGCATGTGTGTGTTCATATGTATGAGTGCATGTCACCGTGTGTGTGTGTGTGTGTATGTGGGTGCACGTGTGCAAGTGTCCATTCACTCATGTGCATAGCTGTGTGCATGCACATTGTGCATATGTGTGCGTGCATTTGTGCATGCCTGTGTGTGTGTGTGTGCGCGAACGTATGTGAATCTGTGTGTGTGTTCACATACATGCTCGTGCAGGCATGCAGGCATTTGCATGCACATGTGGCTGTGCGCATACATACATATGTACATTTGTAAATGTGTCTACTTGTGTGTCTGTGTGCAAGTGTGCACACACATTTGTTAATTTATGTTTGTGCATGTCTGCAAGGCTGTGTGCACGGGAGTATGTGTGCATTCCTGTGTGTGAGCATTTGGCGTGGAGTGTGGCTTTTGCATGTGTGTGTGTGATGCTGCTGTGATCAGACATTGTTACCCAATGTAACAATTACTGAGCTGTGTTCTCTTCAAACAGTCCCATTCCAAACTCATTCACTCCCCCTCCCCAGGAACTAC